GTCCATTATTCACTTCATGGGAAAGAATGATATGCAATACATATCACTAAAGAAAATAACATAAGAAAGATAGTGGGGAGAAAGAAGAAATCTATTTTACCCCGGACAAAATCTGAGAGGTACAGCCTCTCAAATAGAAGTCTTAAGGGCATGGTCATCGTAGCTTACAAGTCCTTAACTACTTATACCTGCTACAAAGACAGAGCCAAACTCCTCTGGGTAGTGATAGAGGATATAACAAGGAGCAATGGTCACGACCTCCATCTCCAGAGGCTCCAAGGGACATCAGGACACTTTCTCAGTGGCAGTAATGTAGCAGTAGAACAGGTCACCCCAGAGAGACAGGGGAATCTTTGTTCTTGGAGGCTTTTCAGATGCAGCTGGACAAAGTCATGCTTGGCCCTGCTTGGCCCACGTGTCCCAACTGTTAGGTTGGCAGGATTGTTTTGCTTTCGCTGTCAGCTGCTCTTTTTTCCTACCTTGCCCTTTAAAAGAAAAAAAAAAAAAAAACAAAAAAGAGTAAGCAAACACCTTCCCCAAAGTTGCTCATTCAGTTGAATTCATAACAGCAACTATTGGATGCCTGTTCTTTTTCCCTACCCCTACCAACACATTTTACAATGAGGAGGATGGCAACGCAAGCCAGTTAGCTCTGGAAATAATCCCGGTGGACAGCTCTCCACTGGGATCTGGAAGCTGGTTGCAGCTCGACACGTCTCGGCAGGCCGTGCACGGCTACCCCCTTGACGTTGACTTCCAGTATTCCCCACAGGAGTTCATCCTGGCTGCAGGGGGCGGGACTCAGGGGGACTGACCGTCCGGGAATCCTTCACCATCGAGCTGCTGCGGCCCACGAGCGTGCCATGCCACTTGTGCACCATCAGAACCAAAAACAACTACCTCTCTTTCCTGAGGGAGAGGAAAAGGGTGAGTTTGTTTCTGGAGAAGCTCTCCCTGTACTTGAACTCCAGCACACCCCAAGACATCGCAGTGACCACCCTCAAGCCTGGCTCTACGCTCATCTCCTGGTGGAGAAAAGGGGCAATACCAAAGGAGACTCCATGAGTCATAAATACATCCTACATTTTACATTTAAGAAGCAGAAATGTCAGAAAGACATCATAAAAGCCAATATCCCAGTGAAATTCAAAGGCACTGACACCCTTGCACCCTTATGTTGTCCTGGAAAATAAGACACACACTTTCCAGAAACGCATCCAGTAATAGTGCTTCTTACACAGATGACAATTGCTTCTGTCCTCAATATTTTCAGAATTTTAACATTTGAATTAAATGCATTGTAAGTAGCGCTTATAAAGGGAATGTTAACTACTTAACATGAAACTCTTCCTGCTAGGTAATTTGTGTTCTTCTTATAAACAATATGTACAGCATACTTTTTAAATAGTATTTTAAAGTCGCAGGCTTGCATTCTCTTAATAAAACTGGCTCTCTGCTGTCATCCATGACTTAGAAAACTATGGAGGAAAGAAAATCCAGTTAAAATCTCAGGGAATGAATTTAAAAATTGAGACTCAGTTTAATAGATTGACATGTACAAATATTAATCTCTAAGTTGCAACAGTTGGCTTAGAGCTGAAAAAAAAACCCTTCCTCAAATCCTATTGCTCCCTAACACCACCATACCACCACACGGTAAGGAAAGGAACCACCCAGAGGCCCTTTTTGCAGTGCAATTGCGAAAGAGAATCTCATCGCTTACATCCCACCTCCAAAAATGAGAAATCCAGCATTAACCAGGCTTCCGAAAGCAATCAGGATCATGCAGACACGGCCTATACTTCGAGTGCCTCTCCTCATCCTCAAAACATATTTTGAGGTACCCAATCTAAGAAAGGTAAATGGAACATTCAAGCTCTCAGCTTCCTTATTTGTGTTCTGAGCTCCAACATGCTCCAAGTCACACAGCTCCTTCGGTTGCGAAGGCAAAGCCTGAACTGTAATAAAAGCCCACGTCAAGGGCCCACGGAGGTCAGGGGGAGCACAGAGGAGAACATTTGGAGAAGAGGTATCGTGGTGTATTTAAAGAGAAGGCAGGACACTCATCTAAAGGAAGCTAAGCTTTGTATTTCTGTGACTCGCATACCAATGCTGGTCTCGCTGCCTTGCCTCCCTTCAGAGTTGAGATTCTCGTCATCGCATTGCGACATTGCTAGGACGTTGTGTTCTCTTTCAATGACAGCAGTTGCTTCTTTGCAGATGTAACAATAACCACTGGATTCATGTCTTCACGCACAAACCAGCAACTGCTGCCTGAGATATAGACCAAGTTGCTTCTTTGATAAATACAAATTCCTCTGGGTGACTGTTCAATAGCTTCCGAAGTGACCCAACTAGAAACCAGTTCTAAAGTTTGACATAGAAGCCAGGAAAGCATCATTAACCCGCTGCAGCTGATAGCCTAGGAAAAAGGTTGGCAAACTAACTCTTCAGGGTAATGATGGTGTTGAGGGGCGGCACAACAGGTATGAAGGAATGTGCCAGCGCTATGCTGATTTTAAACCCACACAGCAGACCTGTCACCTTTGTTTAATGAACTCCCTGACCAATTTATCTTTTGCTGGAGTGTTTATAAAGAAACCAGCCATTTTTTGATGGTCCACATTTGAAAACTTGGGAAAACAAACCAAAAAAACAGGCTGTAAAAACTCAGCAAGTGGCACTTCATATAGGTAACCAGAATGCTTTAAGAAGAAAATGAGGAGGAACAGGTTTAAAAAGTTTACCTAATTTAGATGATAATTAAGAAGGTTGAATTACACAAAACTTTAACAAAACTTTTAACACATTTCCTGTCTCATATTTTAATGAAGATTCTTCACGTTCCTAGAACACAGGCACACACTTGAGTATGTTGGAGGACTGGGCCCCCTTCATTCAGCACTTACTACTACTTGGTATGGAAGTGCTTCAAAAGTGAAAAATATAACAGATAAACAAGCTAAGTAAACACATATAGCAACAGCAGGTGCAGAATCTTTCTTCTCCTGTAAAAAGGTGTATCATTCCTATACCTTTTTTATGATTGCAACTGAATATTCATGGTACATCAGGAGATGCAAGAAAAACTTCCCAAAGACACAGAGTCTTCTCTTCAGTCTCACTTCTCTATTTAGACTGGAAACAAATCACTGAAAGCTAATGTTTAAAATACCCCTAGATTCCAAGCTTTGGATCTCCTTTTCTTAAAAAGGGAGAAAAAAAATCTACACTGGTATGCAGTAAAAATCTTATTAATTCCTCCCTCCCCAAACAAACAAACAAAATAATGGATGCAAACAGCAATAATTCAATTGTAATATTCTCCTCCAGAACACATCAGATATGATGTCAACAGATATGAAAATGCAGGACATTCTATTTTAAAATAAGAAGTAAAATTAGAGATTTTCAGATTTAGGAACTTGAAAGATTTATACAGTGTTTCTATGAACGTCATATAAATTTAGAAAATATGACAAAAGTATTATGCAAGTATTCTTTACTATGTAATCACATTATTGTAAGAAAATGGTTCTCAAACCATTTAACAGAAACCACATTTACTTTTTGACTGTAGCACAGCAGCTAAATAATTACTTTGAAATGACAGAAAATACTTCTGCTTTCACACAGCCTCAGTTACCAATGTAAGCAAAGAATCCTTGCATGATGTCTGGGTTCTGATCTAGTCATTACGAACTATGGTATTAAAAGTCTCAGGAGAAGAAATATGACTGGGACTCAAACCTAATGCAGGTTTAGAAAAGCTCTCAGTGGGATGCAGCTGCTACCATCTTAAAATACAACCTGTAAAAGCTGTGGGATGTACAGCGGCTCACACCAGCCAGAACGCAGCGAGGGAGATGGAGCAAAGGAAGTCTTAAAGAACTCTGCTGAATACAGGTGGAAATGGAACTGGCAAGTCTGAGACTTATTTTTGGAACTAGGTCTTATTTCTGTATCCCATAACCTTTGTGTTCTACATGTGGCACGCTGGAGGGATCAGCTACTTGGAGATACGGGCTACTCGTCTTCCCTCAACTCACTCAAAGCGGTCCCTTTGGAAGGGGACTCAAGACTTTGCAGAGGACCAGATCACCCGCAGGCAATGACCCAGTTTGAGAATCCTGCTGTTTGTCAATAGGAAAGATGTTCTAGCAAAAAAAATAAAAGCAATTTTAAGAATGAATCATCTGATTTGTCACTCTAGAGCCCTCTGTGTTCAGCATTAGCCTTCACGTTCCAAACATACAGGTATCTCAGTAGGCAAATTTCATCACAGAATTCACTTAACCATTAGCAAAAATTTTATTTTTTGTTTAAAAACAAAAACTGTTTAAAAAACAAAGACAGCACATCAACATGAAAGGCTTTGCTTTCTAAACATATTTTCTAATTAATGTTAAATTTCGTAAACCAACCATTTTTATCTTTAAAAACTTATTTCCCCACCCCCACCAGGCAAGTGAAAGTCGAGACAGACACATCCTCAGCTCAGTGACTAGGTACTCAGTGTGCGGTCTTCTCCATAATTCTGGACTCCTGAGAAGTTTCATATAAATAAAAGTATCAATGAACGGGTATTAACAATTTTATCAGTTAAATAACAATTAACTGAAATTAAAGTTTTTCAAAGAGACATCACTGGTTTTGAAATATTAAAGAATATTTATTGGAAAAGACTGAAAACTTGGACTATAATTTCAATAATTTTGCTGAGTGGGTGGCTTTGGAGATTTTATTCATCTCAAAAATATTACTGTAGAATATTTTAGGTCAGATCCTTTTTGCCCTCAATTTATGTAATGGGACAGGCAGACTTTGTATTTCGTGGAAAACATAAAAATATAAAAACATAACAACCGATCAAAATAGAACTCTAAAATCTGACTGCTACCCATATCACATGCAACAAGAAATATTCTTGCAATTTAGCCAAGTTTTGCTCAAAGAAGAGAAACAAATTAAAAAAGGATTTAAAAAAAAAAATAGAAGAATCACTGCCGGCCAGTTTTTCCATTTTCTGTTGTCTCCATTCTGAAATACAAGAACACAACTAGTAAGGATGGTCATACAATTTACTGGAAATATAATCAACAGATGAAAAAAAAGAAAAAACCCAAATACTTATCTCTACTTTTTATTTTACATATATATTTTTCATTTCTCTAACCATCCTGTTTCTCCCTGTCCCCCTCTGCCCCACACAAGTTTACCTTGTCCTAATACTTCTTTAAGCAGTGATCTGTAGGTAAAGATTTCTGCCAAAAAAAACTTGCCAGCCACAACCACAAATAGTTATCCATCATCAGTGTCAACAAAAGATGAAAGCCTAGATCCATGTGGTTGCAGAGAATCTGCTTCTTTAAAATTTGAAATTTAGCAGTTTGTGCCAAGGCCTTCATTTTCACCTTCCCCCTCCCATCAGTGGCTGCTACCACCCAACTCAAAAGGGTGGTGTTTTTTTTGATTTTTTTGGTAGACCACAGACTGCTTTATCAACTTTACTGCAGCATGCTGTAAGATACCAACATTTTATTATCTACAATATTTTTATATTAAATAAACATAAACCAAGGACTAAACTGACATAGAATCAATCTGATTTTGGCTAGGATTGAATCACTGAATCCCTGGAGGATTAAGAATTTTGCTGCAAGGGTAATCACTAGAGCACAGGCAAAGCCACTGCCCAGCATTTCATCCTTGCCCCTTGCCCTTGCCCAGACTTCAGTGAAAGAGAACCTAAACTTAAAAAGACTTTAAAAAAGCTTTAAAAAGAAACTCCATAAGGAATAAATTCGTATATTTCAATCTACGAAGATTAAGGAGTTGTTTTCTTTTGAAATGTTGTGACAAGAGTAACATTTTTTCATACTATATATTAGCTACTGCTAAAATATTTGTAGCGATGCATTTATTGATACAAACCCATTTTCTTCCTTCAGATGTTGATACAGCTCAGCTTTGTTGTTGACAGAGTTCAAGCGACCAATAAATTCTTGGTGTTTCCTAGAATTGGCAGTATTAATCCTGTTGCTCCATAAAGACAGCAAGGACATTGGCCCTAAAATTGGGTAGAAATTTAAAAAGCATCACAGTGATTTAATTCCTGAATTCTTAAACAGAACATCATTATGAAATTTTTGAAGAAACCACAGACTATGGCAGTACCATAGACACAAATGTTAGAAAACCTAATGATGGAGGCTAAGGAAAGATGGGCAAGATGAGTAATTGCTCTGCAGTATTTCATGATGGTTGAGATGTGATGAAGACTCTGCATTTGGAGCCACATCAGAGGCAACAGCAGTTCAAGGAAGAGAAGTGAGTGAGCACTGCCCCTTCCAATGACTATACTGCCCAGGCATATCCCTTATTATTAGCACGAGCTACTTATTTTTGGTACTCGTTCTTAAATACCATTTGTCATGTGCAATAACTGACGTAAGCACAGGCAGGAATTTGCCCAAAGCCCTTCTCAAAAACGCAAATGTCCATCATCAGTACACACAGTACTCAGTATCTCAGTATCTGTCTTTCTGTATAGATCTGTTAGTGTTGATACATGCATTTATCAAGTGTATCTCAACACTCAATGTCTTGATTATAAATTCTTATGGATTCAGTGTTAACTCCAAGAAGTTTCATCTAACTACTTTAGAAAATACAGACTGATACACAAATTTAAACTTTTAAAAAGAAAACACTATCTGTTGAAATTCTTCTGATTTACCTTTTGCCTTTTCCACTGTGGGCATCTCATCCATTGTAATAAGAGGCTTTTTGTTGGGTGGTTCAGGAGAATCAGGGGAATCCTTTATAACTTCAGCTTCTGCTAGATCTTCTTTTTCACGATCCAGAAGACTTTTCAACCTTTTTTTTGAGAGGAAAAGAAAAAGAGTAGAAAGTATGCCATGCTAGAGTGCCATCTTTGATTCCTAATCTGTACCTGTTCTGTACTCTCCGAAGTTGCATACAATCCAGCTCCTAAGAAAGGGTCTTTTGATCCAAGTCAAGGTGAAAACAATAGAAAAGACTCTAGAGAAACAATCCTCTATACAGAGCCTCAAGTAATGGGATCGTAAAATATAATTTTGCTTTAGCTATTCATATTTACTTTGTGCTCTGAGATAGCTGATCATTCTGGGTTCTAAAGGACAAACTAGGTAACAACACAGAAAAAACACTACTATATCAAGGCCTTATTATCTTTTCTATGTTATTTAAATTTAATCTAATCTAAATCAAATTGCTTTTGTTCTCACTTCCTGCTTTTCTTTTCCTTGTGAAAGTTAAAAAAGGACCAATGGATGTGATCATTTGCAGAAAGGCACAAAGGTCATTGACACAGTGCCATTAAGGCAGGTGAACAGGCCTGCCTAAATGACTCCACTGAGTGGAACGCTCAAGTTTCTGTATTCCTCAATAAGGGGATTTCTCCACAGTTTGACTGAAGAGCAGGACAAAGGGAGGGGAGACTGAGTGGAGCCATGAGCGAGTGGGACAAAAAGAGCCATCTGCAAGGAGATGGGGGCCTTTACAAAGGAGGGAAATAGGGCAATTGCCCCACATTCTTCAGCAAGGGGGACAAAGGAGTTGGTGAGCTCAGGTGAGAACAGATGGCGGGAGGCCGGAGTTTGGTGTAGGCGGCCGGGAAGGCTGTAACTTCTGAGTACCTTGGCCAATGGGGAAAAGGAGAGGGCGTCCCTCGGTCGGGAAATTAGGATAAAAGCGGGGCTGCGTCCCCCAGCAATCTGAGAGACCCCACAGGGATATGCCCGGTGGACTCTCCCTTTATTCGAATAAAGTTTTAGGACTCCTCTGTCTCCTTTTGGACATTCAGTTCTTGACAGCGAGATTTTCCGCACAAATGGGGGCTCGTCCGGGATCCTTCCACCTTCAAGTCTTTGCAAATACAAAGCCATGCTAAAACGTTTAGCAAATCAGAGAACTATTCTAGCCTTTGCATTCTTATTTGAAAAGCCTGCACAGTAATAAATGCACCTGTTCAAGCTGGTTCATGGCAACTGAAAAAAGGGCCTTGGGATTTAACATCATTGCGAGTAAGCCATGGTTGAATGTATGAACACGCCAAATTGTAATCTGTAACTGTTCCACAGTGACTTCTCCCCTCTTTGAAGTAGAACAGAACAAAAATTTTTATGCTAAAGTTTTTTTTTTATGACAGAAAATTTACCTTTCTGATTCTTGCCATGGCTTATCAGGCTCATAGTCTTTTCCTGACTTCTCTGACTTGTCCTCCTTTTCTTCCCTCTTTCTGCCCCGCTTCTTGCGCTCCTCCTCCTCGGGGGGTTTGCTCCTGCAGGCCATCAGGCACTCCAGGACGCGCTGGTGTTTGTCCGAGTTGCTGATGTGCGCGCGCACCAGCGTCTCCAGCTCGTTCCACATGATGCGGTACTGCTCGTCTCTGCGCAAGGGCGGGAAAGGGAAGTCTAGTTAAGCACAGCAGCACCTACAGCGTTAACACGCTGATTAAATCAAGGTTAAGAGCAGAACATACGACACCCAAAACCCCACCAAAATAACTTCTTATAGATTATCTCCCCTTCTCTGGGACTGGAAGCCTGTCCACACCATATTGTATCCCTGAAGCTTTCAGAACCAGCTTTCTTTTGGCACTCCCCACTTTACACAATTTTCAGTTGAAATCTACTACATCCACTGCAATCAAATTCTTAACATTTGCAAAAATCACAGGGCCAAAAGGCATTTAATTCAGAGCTTACTTAAGTTTCCTTTTGTATTGATTGGAAATTATTCCAGTTCCTCTGTCTTGGCTTGTATCAGACTTTTCCCTTTATGTTAAAAAAATACAAAAGCAAGGAGAACCATTCTTGTAGTTTTTTGTAACAAAATGTTTGTCTAACATAGTTCTACGTCTATACAATGACAACCCTTAAATGATGTAAACAAAGCACTCAGCAGTTATTTTTCATGTGTGCATCATTTAGCATTTAGCATTCTCCACATTACCTTTAACCAAACTATGAAAATTTACATGAAAACAATGTAAATGTAACCTTTCTGAAAGAAGTAAAACAGCAACAAAGAAAGTGTTTAACCTTTTTGGACCCTTTCCCCTGGTACCAACTGTTGAAATCGGCAGTGGGTCATTTTTCCTCTCCATATCTACTAAATTGTATATTGTTTTTTGACAGTTCAGAACATCCTCATCTGTCATGGCCTCTTTTACAATCACGCTGGCTAATGGCACTACCTGCAATATGAAACAGAAATGAACAACAGGAAAATCTATATATGCTGCAGGAAAGAAACAGGGGAAAAGAAATCAAAATATGGAATTATGTAACACACACACACTCCCCACCACACACCTTACAGGCTATAAAGCCTCTAAATGTTGCATTTTCTCTCTATTCACCACAACACCAGTGGGTCTGTAAGTAAATGAGTTCCAAATATTCCATCCTATTTAGATTACATCCTAATATTCTAGTTACATTAGAATATTTTGGAATATTTAACTGAAAATAAAGTTTAAACTGATTTTGTTGCAAGTGATTTATCATAAGATGGAGTTATTTCATCATGTAACAAGTTGAAACTTACTCCAGAACAGAATAAAAGGTTATTAACCCCCAGATTACTTACAGCTTGCATGTTGAATATGGTAGTCTGAGAAATAATCATAGGCCAGTAACGAGTATGTTTCTCTAACTGATCTTTTGCACGTTCCAATGGAATTTCAAGACTTCCATCCATCTTATATCTGGGCTCTAGAAAAGGAGTTAATCTGTTTTCCCTCATAAATTCACCAAAATCCTAATGATAACCAAACAAGATAAAATTAGGAATTTCTCCACCAAAGTAACTTTCGCTGATTGGGTCAAACAGCTTATCACTGTGTATACCAACCCCACCCACTAAATTCGCTCTAACAACCAGACCTGTTTACAGTTTCCAGATGTACAACTCTAATCGGACAAACACTTAACTAATGTTATGAAAATAAAGGTTAAAAACTGATAAAGCTGACAGCTTTATCTTTTCCATGTATTCTACAAGCCATTCAGGAACAACCCATCCTTCTGACAATGAGCAGAACAGTCTTCTCCGCATTGAGAAAACAGTATTTGAGAAGCAATCAAGAATTTTAAGTGTTTATAGTGCACGAAGGCAGCAAGGACTACTTTGTATGGAAATGGTCCTATAGGGCAGGCATCACAATAAGCAGAGATAGTACTTTGCACTAATACATACCAATAACACAATATAGTACCAATAGCCATACAATCCACGCAGCTCTCCAGAAAGCAACACTCCCCATATGGAACACCAAATGCATTGCATCTCTTGCAGCCTGAGAAAAATGGCAATTCAAAAGCAAAGGGCCTCTTACTGTAATCCTGTAGTCCGTGACTCTTCCACCACAGCCTTCACTAATCGATGGGGGATCTTCTAGAATCGATCGGGAGCTGCTTAGAACATGCAGGAAGATTTCTCCTCCATGGCTGCTGAGCATGTGGCTAATGACTTTAGAGCCAGACTTGCGTGGCTGCTCCAATAAGACAGAGCGACCTGGTGGAGGTGAGGTCAGCTTGGTTAGTTCTGCACGCTACAACTTTAACTTAAAAACTACATGTATTCACATAATACGGGTTTGTGTCTAAGCCAGTCTTTTTATACACTAAAGTTGCATTTTCCCCTAGTTTGAATGAGAAAAATCTTTTTGAGCATTTAGTCCCTATCCCTAAACAGGATATGGCATCAAGCATAAGATCAAAAACCTTCCTGTGACATCTCAAAAGTTTTCTGAAGAGGACATGCCTTTTAGGGATACACACACTTAAAATGCTGTATTATATACAGACAGCTTATTATTTGTACCTTGCTTGAGTGCAAAGTTATGAATTTGTACTATTTTATGCTTAAAAAGGAGATAATTTTCAGATACACAAAGATGAAACTGGCTTTGCCTCGTGTCCAATAAAATGCACTCAATTCAATTCAGCTCAAAGGTGTGACATTATGAGGAAGCAAAAACAGAAGATGTAGAGAGGTTACTTTCATTTTGGTTCAACCATTTTTATTAATCATGGTACTTCACCAGTATAGAATTTTTAGGGAAAAATAAAAATATAGGGCAAGAAAAACACCACATGTTTATTTAGACACATAACTAATTCGACTGAAGAAAACAACCTATTGAAAGAGGTGTTTGTAGTGTAACTTTTCTTGAAAACTACAAAAAGAAAAAAAAATGCATGTAATTAACATTGACACAATACTACATGCTTGAAAGCAGCAGTTTTCGACTACTTTTGGGGCATGTACATAAATGACAACCTCTTACACTAAAGTAATACATGACAAAGGCTAATATCTTGAAGATAAGTAGATGGATCTAACTCCCCTTTGGATTGATCCCAGTAAACTTAAGCAACTGAGCAGCGTTTTGCCATATCTAAGAGTAAGCTCAGAGGCTACCTACCACCAGGCATGGATTTGGGGTGTTAATACTTTGCAGTCAGCAACCAGGGTAAGCACTTTGAGCACCTGCTGGAAGCAATGTTTCCTACTAAATTGGATTTTTTTTGCTATCAAACACTTCAACTATCGAAATATTTCAAAACTATTAATATTTTAACTATCAAAACAAAATACTTGGCCAAGAGCATAAGTTTACCATTAAGGAGAAAGTTAGTAAGGCATGAAGAAGGTCTGCTATTTACATCTACGGGGGAAATCCGGTAGGCTCCAGTGCAATAGTGTAATTCTGAAAAGTAAATGAATAGAAAATTTGAGGCTGGCTCCAAAACACAGCAAAAACACCCCACCAAATGAAAAGAATGGGAGGAGACTACTGCCCAAAAAGCAGAAAAGCCTTGCTGCCTACACCCCCACCCCCATCTCTTAGGCAGATGACCAACTAGCCAAAATAGGACTATTATTAAAGCAATCAGCAGCAAGGCATATAGAATAAAAGGCGAAATAGGATTAAGCAACTGTCTCCCTGAGCTATCAAGTTACCTACCAACACTGTTGGTTCTAGGAGTACACCATTTTAATGTTACAGTTTCTTTAAACGTGCCTTCTCTGCTATTGCCACCTATATGATTATCACCTGTAACAAAACCAGAATAAAAAGGAAGTGTCATAACTTGATCGACCGTATTTACTTTGGTAAATATAGCAGATTCCTACATGAGCATCAAGTATTACTGAAAATACATAAGATATTAAATATAAATAGCATGACTGTATACGAAACGTGATGCAGTTTTAAAAAGCTTAGTTATTTAACATAAGCAACCCTAGGTTATTTAGCAGTAGCAACACTTTGAAAAACAAAACAAAACTTTGAAATTGGTAGGTGTACATATAAAACTACACCTCCAGGACATGTCCTATATGTCCGATTCAACAATTAAAACAAAAAGTATCTGTAGTTTTCCATCTGTAACATAAGACTTTTTTTTTCCTTAAAAGACAGTTTAATGGGGTATTGATGTCTGTTCTAACACATCCCTGCTAGCAAGTTGTTTGCTATTCTTCTTGTCCTTTAACACACATTAGGTAAGGAAAGATTAACAGAGTTTTACACATATTGGAATTACAGTAGCACAGTTAATCACACAAGATGATGCTTAAATTCATGTTACTCTGTGAGGAATTAGACACAAATATCAACCTATAACAGTAAGTATTATGTTATGCTCCAAGAAAGAAGCTTTCTTTGATTTCACAATACATACTCCCTCATACATGATTTGTGATATTTTGCTTATAACTCAGTGCACGTAGCTTGTAGAAGTTGTATTTTTATCCTTACTGAAAGCTCACAGATGTTTTAAAACAACTGGAATCATTAAAAAAAAAAAGAAAACTTTCTCAAGATATCTAAAGGACAAATCTATTTAATCTAAATATTCCCTAGCAAGCCATTTCACAGAAACAAGAGTTTCCTGTTACTTCAGTTCAGAGTGCATAGCTCACCTTTGCGAATACTTCCAAAATACCAATCAAAATAAAAGACACAAAAAGCATGTTTAAAAAATTATTTCTACTTACCACTCTTCAAAAAGTCAACATGTGCCTCTTTATGATGAAGAAGCTCTACATCATAGTTGGCTGAAGTGTTGGCATGTTGCTCTTCCTTTAAGAGAGAAATGCAAAAATATTTCTTATTTTAACTAAAAGTTACTGTTTTCACATGAGAACAGTTCTAAATTTATCTTTCACTCCAGAAGAAAACAGAGAATCTCCAGAGTGCATCAGACAACAAGAGGATTGCAATGTTGAGGAAACTTTGCTCTCTGACCTATTTAAAGATGCAGCCATCTGCTTTCTCTCTTTTGTCCTTTTTGAAATATTGTGGTTTCCTCTTCATACAAGTGCCATGACAGGGTGCATAATGCAAAAAAAAGAGATAAAAATAGGCTTAACTATCTTTCCCCGTCCTTTTGTTTAAATTCAGGAAGTTTAACAAGGCTGTAACATATTTAAATATCACTGATATACAGCTAGAACTCATCCAGCAGCAACAAATGGCCACTGCTCAGTAAAAAACTAAAAATCTCATGAATCTGAACTTAAAAAAAAAAATGGGGAGGAGGACTGAGAGCATTTTATCATTTTCCTGTATTTAAGATATACAAAAATGCTTTTTCAGTCACAAGCTTATAATTCGAAACTGAATGTTGGAAGGAGGATATTGCATCTTTAAACAGCTGCAGCAGATTAGCAAAAACAGAACAGTAATCTTGGCAATTTATTCCAAGTGGGAAGAAAAAAAAAAAAAAAAGGACAGAGAACCCAACATAGTCTATTGCTATAAGGACAAAGGCAGAAGGGAGAGGCAAACCAGCAGCACACAGGTCAGAAAGTCACAGACAAGGTATTTGCAAACCTAAAAGTCACATTTATACTATGACCGATAGTTAGAGTTCTATTAACGTGGTCTGAGTACATTAATACTTAAATTCATGTTTTAACCTACAAAAATACATAAAATATTACTATTTTTCAAAGCCATAAATAAGCACTGATCGATAGTATTAAAAGTCTTTTTTTTTTCCTTTCTTTTTTTTTTTAAATCAAAGTTTATCTGCCTTGCCCTTTCTGTTTGTTTGAATACTGATGCTTCTGATCAGGCAGCAAGACGCAATGAAAACAGAAAATTAATTTTAATACTTAGAGTTCTTAGATGCATAGACTTCCCTTCTAGTAGTGAGTAAAACAGATATCTAAGTACACAGGGACATAAAAGAAGTCTAATCTCTTTCATAACTAAATTACACACTCCTGTCCCTCTGCTTCTGACTTACGCAGCTTCGGACTGGAAAACATACTGGAAAAGATTTAGTCAAAAAATCATCTATTAGTTACAAACACCTTTATGTTGGGTGGGCATGATAATGAAACAGAGGAGAGAGACTCACTATGACACTAAAATGCATAAGGGTCAAGAATATCTAATGAACACAACTAGGAAAAGATAAAAGAATCACAGACAAAGTAATTTGAGGTAAATAAGACTACAGTTATATAAAACAATACAAACAAAACTGAAATAACACTTGTATTGCTAAGTCAAAAATTGATTTTGGCAATACAGCATTTTGTTCTGTGATCCTTTTTTTTTTTTCCTCCCCCTTCTTTAATTTTACTAACCTGGTCACAGACATTGAATGTGGGCTAATAAAAACAAAAACAAAACAGAAAATATGATATGGAGAGAAAAGCAATGTAAAAAATCCATTAAAATAAACATTAAAAGTTTGCAAACCAATTTAAAAGTGATGTAGCCACTTAACATAGAGCTATACGCACAATATTACCTTCATAGGGATATTAGTTATTGTGGTTGAAGCCAGATCAAAGTGCTGCTGCACTAAAACGTTCAGTTTTGTAGCCAGGTGACGCCCAGCACGGACACTGTGTACTTCACTGGTTAAAACAGGTGAAAGCTGGAACAAATTGGCATAGAATATATAGCATTAATGGATTAAGGTCCAAAATTTGTAGCAGCGTATAAATCCTTTGAAATTCTAAATTAAGCAGGTTTATACTTCTAACTTCAGCCAGAGAAGAAAGAAGAAAAAAGAAAAACCAAAACCAACAAAATAATAATAAACATAAATATATAAGTAAATATAAATAAATATAAATAATAACAAAAAAGCCCACAAGACTTGCTCTTTACCCAAAATTCTCCAAGTTGTCCCAGTTGTTACAAAAAAAAAAAAAAAAGTCATTAATTGCTAATAGGAAGATTTAGTACCAGGACATGGGGCAGGAACCCAAGATTTTATGCTCTTAATAGCAGCTCTGGGCCCGAGTCTTCCCCTCCCTTTCATCAATCGAGTAACTTGAACACAGTAATTTTCCCTACCCACCTGTATTTTCTATACACACACACACGAGAAACAAATACAAGCTGTACTGCAAGCTGTACTTGATTTTCCTTTGCCAGCAAGTAGTGACATTAATTTTAGGCAGCACTTGAAAAACTGTGACAAAATACCAGTCGTACAGAGAATAAATGCAGTCAATTTATTCTCTCCTGTTCACATATATTACTCAGCATTCATCTAGAAATAATTTTGTAGAACAGTATCTTAAGAAAGCTATCAGACTTACTCCTGACATAAAATGCAGAATTAGATATCTATCATAATAAAGGAAAAATATTGTTCCTTGAAAAACTGAAAGGAAACAGGCTGAAGAACAGCAGAATATACTCATGCATATTTTAGGGAATATATCAGGGCATATTTTGCATGCAGTGGTTTAAAAACTACTGAGAATTCAAGTTATCTATTTGCTCTTATTAGTAGGCATTTGGAATGTCAGCTGGTGGAATAATTTTTCATATAAATTCTTCCTTTTACTTTCTAAATTTTTTAAGAGAAGATATCTGCACGGTACTTAAATGATTCTGTGAATGTCAAACATTCTACTTTCCTACAACATTACCCTTTCCTCGGAAAGCAGATAAAGTTTCTGCTGTTATCCATTGAGAAAACATTCTGACAGCTAACACGGAACAGACCATTTATACAGCCAGTTGTCAGCTTTTCCATTAGATTCTTAAAGATGGGATTCCTTCTCCTAAGTCCCACAATTTTATCCATCTAGGACATCAATATGCTCACTTCATGAGAAGCAGAAACACGAATTATTGTTGCAAGAAGTTTAAGCAATGAAGCGGAAAAAAGGACACCACATACACATGTGGACTACCAAACAAGGAAACAGTTCATTACAAACGATGTATCTCATGTGGCAAATCTAAGCTGTCAGCTTCTCAAAGATAGTCACCCATAGTACTAACTACAACTTGGAGATCAAAGGCTTCAAACTTGATTGCTGAACAGTCAACTTGCATTGTCTATTTTGTTTTTCATGTGGTTCCTAAAACTTGGATAAATTTTCCTTGTTTTAAGCTCCTTACCTCTTTTTTAGGACGATCTGAAACAAGGCTGTCTTCACCAACCGGGTAAGTGTGGATTAAGACCAATTCACATTTCTGAATCTGCATTAGACTTAAAAATAAACATTTCTATTTCAGTAAGCCTACAGCATAGCAGATATTATCCCACAGAAATGCAATCAATTCTCTTCTCCCAATACCCAGTTGATGTTCAGAACACAGATCCCATGGAAATGTATTATGATGCTCTGTTTCTGCAAGTTTTCTGTGGAAACTAGGTTATATTAATGCTTTTCAAGAGCACACATTTCAAAATGATTTTTAATCAGAATAAAAAAAGAATGATGCTTCTGTCTCTTCATGCAATGTCACTATACTGTTTGGACAAATCAACAGAGTAGATCCTTAACTGGTATAAACTGATCAACTTCATTCAAACGACAAGAGATTTGTGTCTCCAAGTGTCAAGAAGATAATAGCAAGAAAATTCATGTGAATTTTAAAATTATCCAGCTAACATGCTCTCCTACTAACATGTCTGGAAATTTAGAGAGAACAGGACATTGTTCCATATTTCCAGTTACAGGAATATACAAAATCCCAGGTCTGGGGTAGCTTTTCTCACAGGTTCTTTTTTCACACTGAGCTTAAAACCTGGTTCTCCAGGGGCTGCATCTTTTCTACATCTTTGAAATTGCAATTGCAGCAGGTAGATAGATATTGGACACTTACTTGTGCTATTTAAATGCCTTGGAAGAACCAAGAACAGGATCTCAACCTATTAAGCACTGTGCACGGCAATACACAGTTCCTGCTCACAGGTTACACTATACAAAAGGTGTGTGTGGGGCGGGGGGAAGCGGCAACACTTCTTTTAGAGAAGGAGATGCCTCCTGTAGTTCAAGAGATCCCATTATTTCATGGGGGCATAAAAATAATTTAGAAATTAAAAATTAATTTCAAGCATCTCAGTCATTTTAGTCAAAGAGGCACATACAACTCGTTCAGTGCTACTGTTACCAAGGCAGAATACGTCACATGCATTATTGATCACAGTGATAAAGTATTCAAAAAGGCACAGAGTTACCTGCCTTTTACATTTTGGAGCAAGATGCAAAATGAAACCTGAGGTATTATTACCCTGTGATGAAGGATGATACTGAAGAGTCAACAATTATGCACCTCATGACTCAGCATCTCAGATGGACATTCAAATGTCATCAAAGTATGTTTTGGTATGTTTTAAGTGACAAAAACACATCCATATTTCCTGGAAGGCATCTAACAGGCACATGCAACTCAGAAAAACTGAGAAACCATATTTGTGAAAAGTATACTCACTGATCTGAATTAGCTGCAAGCTTGTTATGCTCATGAATAGTTTCCTGAACACAGTCCTCAAGCATTCGAACATGACTGTCACTAAAAGGGCACCAAAAAAAAAAAAAGGTATTTTTATAGATTTTTTTTCTTATCCTTATGACAAGATTTTTACTGTCTTAGCACATACAAAGGCTCAGCTTCCATAGCCATGACACATTGTGTGAAATTTTGATAAACTATGATAATTTCCCATTTTTGTAATATTTTATTAAAAATAGGCTTTGACAGACACATCTCACTATCTATTCATGCAGAATTATGTGCCTGTTGTAAAATATAAATCTTGCAAAACAGCCTCTATAATCCATAATTTCTGTTTGGGGACATGAAGAGTTAATCTTATTTTCTATTTCAGTGGCAAAACTTTTCACTCATTTCTCCCAGTTAAATCATGCTGTTCATCCCACTACCAATGCAGTCAAATCTATTGTTTTCTTCAGAGCAACATGCCAGTAAATGCACTCCTCTTTAAAGTGAAAAAAAACTTTTCGTTGACTGCTCTAGCAGACCTCTACAAATGAAAACTTTAAGGCAGCAAGAAATGATCTACAAACAGAAATGCACAAAAATCTAGCTATTTAGGGCACTAATTTACAACAAACACTGAGCTACTAATGCTCCTAAAACATATATATGTTTTAATGTTTTAATGTTATCATACAGACCTTTTTGCATTTGTAATACAGATTATTCTTCCTCTGTTTCCAACACGTTCTGCATTCTCCATGAGCATAGTTCGAGCCTCATGCTGGTATTCTGTGATTTTGCAGAGCGCTTCTACTGCCGCGACCAGACCATGAAGTATGCTGCAACATTCTGGATCTGCCCTGGGATTAGGTGGCCCAACAGCTGCTAATGCTGCCATCAGCTAGTTAAAAAGAAAGACACACATTTTATTATTGAAAGTTATTTTTAAGTCATTTGTTAAAATGATCTAAAAGAGAAAAATCATAGCTGCAATTTATTTTATATAAAAATTAATATCGTTGGGAGAAAAACTAATAGAGCAATTAAAAATATCTGATACACTTCCAGCCTTTTGGAAAATATTCAGTTCTAAATTCCCCTTTTGCAATTAATTTAGGCTTTCAGTACTGACTGACAAATAACATGCACATTCATTATACCCAAGATACTAACATTATCAATTGCCAGATGGCTCTCTCTTCTAGAATTCGATTAATCAGTTCCTTCCAACAGTCATTTTTTTTGGAAAAGGAGACTGTGCATTTTAACACAAGAGTAAACAAAATACAAACACTGTTTACAAATTTTTAAAACTATTTAACCTTCCAACTCATTTGGGTAACTTAACAGAATATTTCTTAAAATCTTATTCTGTAATCATTCCAGACCAGATCCACTGACTTTTTCATTCAACAAAATCATCTCATGATGAATGCATTAAGAAGTCACTTTTTATTCTGTAATCGAGCTAGACTTGCAAAACAGAAGAACAGCTACAGAGCATACCTCCTGCAAGTTCTGATCTTCTTGGGTCCAAGAATTCAAGACATGAGCCCCAGAATCACTCACGATGAAATTCACCTAAAAGAGTAACAAAATTCAAACCACCCTAAGTTACACCTTCTTCAGATTTAGTTAACAGATAATCACAAACCAAACAAAAACAAATAAGAACAAAAGTACAAAAAGCATCACTCCTGCTATATTCAGGCAGCTTTGCCGTAGAATCATATTTAACAACAACTAAATACCTGTAGTTAAGTCACTCTGTACACCAGGGCAGCACTGCAGGATATTAAGGATCAATTTCACTAGTCTGGTAACACTTCTCATAATAAAAACATCTACCAAGCAAAATAAATTCCAATGCTACAGCACAGCAATTCGTTCTGCAAACTCTGTCATGAGAGACCTGAGGGGCAAATATCTAGCAAGGTATCATAAACACTAGATACCAAAACATGTTCTCAATATGTTACCAAAATAAGCTGAGAAGCGCATGCCTTCCCTCTCAGTTTCAGTTTTCCTATCACAGAGACTTCGGTTCAGCCAAATGACTCGATTCAGTTAAGCACACAGTTAACATATCTCATCATGGGAGTTCATGATATGGGTTAGATATTCTTTTAAACAGAAATTTAAAATAAATACACATTCTTCCTCAAAGTCTGAAGTATCAGAAAACTAGAAGTGAGCAGTCAATCCTCACTCTGTTTCACCATTTTAATATACTCCTTTTCTTAAATTACTTAAATTCTTAAATAATTTTCCTTGCAGAAATATTAATTTTGCTCTGCTCAAACTTGAGCTTATAGAAACACCATCACACCATTCAGTCTGACTTCTTCCTATGCTCTATGATCTAAACATAGTCCCTAACAGCCCCTGTGATGAAAGTTCTCCTCTCTCATTCATGTGCTAAAGAAGGGACAAAACAAGTAAATAAAAATAAACAGACAGACTTGGAAGCTGCTATCTAGCTACCACTGGTTGTGCTTGCTACAGCAGATCACGATAATTTGATGGGACGCCAAGCACGAGCTTTGATTAGAGGTGAAACACATATCAGAGAGGTAACTCATCTCCCCCACAGAGGCATTTATCATCAAGAGAAACAGAAGGACTAAATAATGTTCTGTTCTTTGTAGTTTAGTGCTAATTATTATAATGCAACTCCACAGCAGTGAGAGGCCTTAGAACAAAGAAAGCTCTGCCAGGGCTATGCTTTGTGTAGGGATCATTGATACAGAGATCAAAAACAGGTTTTCTTTCTTGGTATTGCAGTTGTATCATCTGCCTTTAAGTGTAAACTGATACTACTCAGGAAATGCTTTCTAGTTCAAGCTGTAACTCTTCACATTTTGTTCCAAGATGTTGTTTACAACACATCTGCCATAAGCAAAACCATAAGCGTAGCAAAACTCATCCTTCAATATAGCATTTATTTTTCTGACTCAAAAGGAGAAAAGATCGTCTAACACAAGGCAATTTTCCACATGGTGTGTTGTCTACAATGCCCATAAGCCCTGCATTCAAGAGCAAACTAATGGGTTACTCCAGTCTGCCTGTAAAGCAGCCCTCAACAAGTATCAGTATCCTTAGTTATTCCATCCATTTGGCTTTTAGACTATTACTCATTAAGGGGGAACACAGATCAAACAGAAGTCATCTCAATGTCCACAATAGAGGAAAAAAAAATCTAAAAAAAAAAAAACTTGTGGCAGGAAGTTCTCCCACTACCAACTGGTAGTTTCAGAGAGATCCTACCACTTCCTACAGCTCTGCACTCCTTCAAAGTCTGTAAGGAAAACCCCCAGCAGGGCTACCAGTAGAACTAAAATTAGATTTAAAACAATATCTCACTTAAACTTTTGTAAGCTTAAAGAACATTTATACACTACCTTAAAGTTTCTCTCCTTATAATTTGCAACCAAGCACTAATTTACAAAATGACACTAGGATTATTAGATGTCCCCCAAACCAAATGTATAATGGGATTCATTTACTACTCAAACCATTTATAAAAGTCATAAGCTCCATCAATACCTCAGAGATATTTTTATATGTTAGCTGTTGTTGCATTAAAAGATCAGATATAAAGGTGTTAAAAATCTAATTAAAAGGGAAAATAGTGCTATACTATGAAGAACTAAGTACAGTATCTCTACAACTTACCAGTTTTTTGAAAGGAAAAATATCGTACATTATTCTACAGTATTCCATAGATGACTCCACTGAACAGGTCCATAGGGATTTGGATATGGGAGCTAGGGGTATAATTCCTTGGGTCCGATTCTTTACTAACATATCGAATTCAACATGTTGCCTACAGGATTCTGCCATATATGGGCAGTGATCCACAACAAAAACAGTTTTATGAGACTCAGAAAAGATTTTCATTTTCTTCCTGAAATAAACAGGTATGATAATTAGTAAGAAACTGCGTGAGGCAAATTAAAAGAAAAAGTTACAACACAAGCTTACTACACAGTTTACATTTATATACAAGTATTTTAATTTACTACACAAGCTTTGAGAAAAGTTACCTTATACTATCACACATATCTTACCTTATAAAGCTACTTGTAAAGCTTTTTACAAAAATTGCACATACTCACTTAAAGAACCTATTTACCTAAAAACAAAATATTGCCTAGAGCACTCACTAGTCCTTATATTTAGTACACTAAATTTCTAACCATGCATAAAAAAAAAAAAATGACTGTAAACTGCTGAAAAGCTAATCATGATAAACAATATTACTGCTTCCCCCTTCCCTAATTAAAGATTTCAGAGAAACTATGAAAGACCCAAACCTGCTTGCTATTTAATACTTAAGGTACAGAAAGTAAGCATCTATATAGGGTAACATGCATAAGTAACAGAACCAAGTCGCATTCTGTAACAGCCCCATGTTACAATGAACAAAAGGCCTCCCCTCTTATCCATGTGCTAAAATATGTTAAATATGCTTTCTGGGGGATATTTTTACCTAAAAATTAGCCTTTGTTTTGCCAGATACTATTAAAAAAATAGATGTATTGGCATCTATATTTTAACCTCTGGCTGATACAAAGAGCAGATCTGAAATTACTGTAACATGAACATTTCTTGCCTTCCAAGGCTCGCAGAAGCACCCCTTGTTTGCTTTCTACTCGCCAAGAATCATAGATTCATTAAGGTTGGAAGGGACCTTTGGAGATCGTCTACTCCAAGGCCCCTGCAAACACAGGGTCACCTAGAGCACATGGCACAAGATTGCATCCAAGCAGGTTTTGAAGATCTGCAGACAAGATTCCACAGCCTCTCTTGACAGCCTGTTCCAGTGCTCTGTCACCCCCACTACCAAGAAAATTTTCCTTAAGTTCTTGTGTAACTTTCGATGCTTCAGTTTGTGGCCTTTTGCTGGCCACCACCACTCTGCATGAAGTGCAGAGCTTTCCTGTTTCATGCCCACTGAGCAGGTTTTCCTCTCCCACTGCCTCACTGTGAAGACACCCTTCCAAAGCACCTAAAAAGCCTGGGCATCACCTCCTGCAGAAGCACCATTATTTGGGTACAAAACAGACAGGAAACTTGATCTTAGCCCAGCCTTTATAGCTGTTTTCCTTGCAGGTTTGTTCCTTTGGATATGAATATAATATGGGTGTGCATATACATATACAGCAGTGGAACAGGCTGCCCAGAGAGGTTGTGGAGGTTGTGGAGTCTCCTTCTCTGGAGATCTTCCAAACCCACCTAGCTGCCACCCTGTGGCCCGTGCTCTATGTGTCCCTGCTGGAGCAGGAGGGATGATCTCTAGGGGTCCCTTCCAACCTCAACACTCTGTGACTCTGTGATTCTATGATTTATATGCGTGTGTGTCTGTGCAGACATGGGTGTATATATATACAAACCTTTTTATTACACCCATACAGATATTATTGAGTATGTGCATATATCTACACATGCACACACATGCACATTTACATATGCACATGTGCATGTATATATACACACACACTTACATATGTGCATACACATACACTCACATATGCATGCATATATAAAAAAATGTGTACATACACTCACACGCACTATCCACACACACACACACATACATACATACAAGGACAGGGGCACACCAATGCGTGTGCTCTTCGCTTACCTGGTGCTGCTCGTGCGGAGCTGCAGCAGCGCGGCCGCC